CCTGCCCCAAGTTGGGAAGAATTGGCGAGGCGGAGACGAACGCTACAAATGATGTGAATAATATAGGCCGTTTGAGAAGGGATTGCCGGCAGACAGGAGCGGTGTTGTCGATGTGCCCACAGTACTTGAGGTCACCGCAAGAGAGCGTTGGTTGCTGTCACGGTGCGTGCCTACGAAAGCAAGCCCTTTGGTCTGCGTTGAAAGAAAGCAGAGTTGCGGCGGAGAAAGACGAGATGTCTTACATAGCTGATTTTGCTGCAGATTCCGCCCGAATTGTGGAGCAAGCAGGAATTCACGCTCATACTGCGTCATGTTACAAGTATGAAAGCGGACGTGAGCAGGATGGCAAGCCAGAACATTGCCGCTTTGGGTACGTCCATTTTGTGACTTTGTGGTGTTGGGCCATTGTTTTGCGCCGTGGCAAGCAGGTGAAAGCAGCCGTGCAGCGAGTGTTTGCAAGATTTGGCAAGGAGCCAGTACTTCCCAAAGGGTACATGCCTACACCTTTCGAAAAAGAACATGGCATTGCGGCAACGTTGGACATGTTTGCCCCACACCATCCGGGACTGGGAAGTCAGATCAATGCCAAAGAAAGCTTGGACCGACCTGGCCGCATTCAGACGGTGCGTGTGCATCCAAGAGAGACATCCACCTTGGTGAGCGGAATTGTCTCCCATAGGGGCAACTTGGACTATCAGGACTTGCGGACTGTCCTGGACGATGCCGATGATGACAACGTTCCGTTGCCGCCCGAAATCAAGGTGCATCGCCAAGGCCCGTTGCAGCCCTGCCGTTCGTTGCTAGTGAACGGAGGTGTCACAATGCCCCAAGCCTATACTGTCCGTTTCCTCGGGAGCTGCTTGCAAAAAGAAGAGGTGAAGGCCTTGATGGTTGCTACCCGTACTTTCTATTGGATGTTGGAACCTAGAGCTGGAGTAGCTGAAATGCCACGGGTGGGCGACCGGCAGCGTGATGCAAGCTGGAAGATTTTTTCCAGAGCTGTGGTTGACGGCATTGTTTCGGCAATGCGAAGTGCAGTGCAGATTAGCTTCTACATTTGTGACTACTCCACTAAACCTAATGTGACATCGGGCCGCGTTTTGCAGTACATGCACAAAGGAATGCAACGGTTGGAGGCAGAACTGCAGGAGAAAGAGTGCGTGCAGAAAGTGTTGGAGCTCGAGGCTGCTGGTTTCTTGGATGATCCTGGCCGATTGCCTTCCGGTGTGCAAACTTTGGAAGGTAAGAATTTGTCTGAGGCCGAAAAAAGGCAAGAGAAGGTGAGACGCATTCTGATCCGCCTGTGGAGCGCTGCAAACTATTCTTATTTGAAAGGCGCTTCGTTGCAGCTAGTGCATCTACTAACGCGCAGAGAAGCTTTCAGAACTCACAAGTATTGGCAGGTTCTGACGAAAAGATTAATTTGGGCAGGACTGTTTTCATGTTGGCTGGCTTTGCCGGTTGCCCAAAACAGGCGTTCAAAAAATAGGTGTGATAAACTATTCAAAGTGCTGGTAATTGTCAAGTGTTTGGTGGCTTATGGATCTTGTGTCAATATCTCTGACCCTGTGTCTCAAAGGACATGAAGCTTTGCGAAGAGAAGAAACCAAAACCATGGAAGTAGGAGAGACAGAGGAAGACGTGGCCCTAACCCTGATCGAAGTGGAGCAAGCGGATGGGAAGTATAGTGTCCAAGTGAGCAACGATGCATTTGTCGACGATTGGTACCACCGTGGCCCAGACCTTGCTTGGATGAGCCATTATCTCTACGCGATGTATGTCAGGGTTGTGCCGAAATCTGATGGCCTGCGCTTTCAATGGAGCTTTGCCTTTGTGCACCATTACAAGAAATATGCTGGCTTCGTACAGGTGCTCGAACCATCTCCACGAGTTCCTTACATGGTTGGCTTCACCATGCCCACGAGAAGCGCGGATCCTGCCACGAATGCTTTGTATCATCTGTGCTTGATGAAGCCGAGCAGAGTGTGCAAAGGGTGTTGCGAAGATGTGGCTTGGCTAGCAGGTCATGTGTTGTCATCTGTGGCTGGGTCACAGCAAGGCATACTCTTTGGATACACAAAGCCTGCCGGGCAAGCTCAGCCTTCCAGGGGCGAGCGACGTTTCACAGAAGCGTGGAAAGCTTGGGAGGCATTGCAACTGACCCGAGCAGAGCGTGCTTGGGCAAAGTTGAAACTGGAGCGTCGTGTGGGCGTTCTGGATGATGTGGCGCCATTCCGAGAATGGTATGTGCCTGGTTGCAACAGAAAGACCATTGTGCAGTCATCATGGCTTTTGCCTTGGTTGCGAGGCGGTTTTCGGCATTGCTATAAAGGTCCCTGGGGACAAAAGAGGAGGACGCGATCCGACATCAATCCGATATACAGCAAGGCGCAATTTGTCAAGCTGCATCCCACAAGTGTGGGGGTACTGCCAGCATTGCCACATGTGGTCGCAGTTTGCATTCTTCGTTTTGCTGGGAATGTGAAAGGTGAAGGGAATGAAGATGTGGTTATAGCAGACACACTTGATGCCCAGGACAAGGCTGCGTCAAGTTGCAGAACAGATGCCCAGAAGACGGTGGTCAGAACAGGCACCGGGGTTCATGTGAACCAATTGTTTCCCGAAGAGTTTGGTGCCAGCATCACAGCAGAGGTGTCATGGAATATGGATTTGCTTGCTGAAGCTCGCAAAAGACCACGCCCAAATGCAGTCGCTGTCAGCAACGAAGACGAAGATGATGATGCGGGTGGAGCTGTCGTGGGAAAACTGTTGGCCGCTGAAGGAGAAACCCCGGGCGGAGAAGCAGGAGATGATTATGATGTTGTAGTGGAGCAGCCATATTCCGAGGAAAAAGGCTTACAGTATAAACCGCACCTGGAAATACAAGATTGCGATGTCCTTGAGATTGCTCACAGACTAGATGGCTGGAGAGACGGGCGAGGCGCGGCGTCAAACGTTGTATAGGAGGTCGCGGGGCTAGCGGCTAGTGCGTTGCATTCAGTTTGTGTTGTGTGCATTCAGGTTGTTGAGAATTATTGTCGTTGGATGTGTTTGTCAGGTCAAAAAGACAATGTCTTGAAGTTTTTCCAGAACTTTCGCGATTTTTACGCTGAAGAGTTAAAGGCAGCATGCCCTTGCGAGATGAGGATGCAAAAACAGTTCTGTGGTACAGATGGCATGAGTTTGGCAGACTGGATTTCACAGCGAAATCAAATGCTTCGAGCACAGAAAGAGTTGAAGAATAACCGTGAGAAGACAGGCCCAGGCGGTGGAGAATCTGAATCGGAAGATGATATACAGAGTCGTGTGATTACCAGTGAAACAGATGTGCCGAAAATTCATGTAGTATTCACTTTCGAAAATGCCATTGAATCGCCAGCTGAGATGGCACGCCGGTTGGCGTGTCAAAGTGGGGCAGCTTGGGACAGACAGCAATATGAAATGATCATTTGTTGCGTGTGGCCTTTGCACCGGGTCTGGGAATATGCTCTCACAGAGCGTCGTCTGAAGGAGTGGAATTCTGTGGAAGGCCGCTTACAACTCATCCAGGATGCGCAGGTTCCACCTGTCCGTGTATTCGCACATGGAGCTGGCGGGTCAGGGAAAACTTATTGCTTGACTAAAGTTGTCATGGCCGTTTTTCAGTGGTTTATGCCAGGGCAATGTCGTAAGCAAGCTTCCACCAACAGTGCTGCTCGCCTGATCGCAGGCGACACCATGCATGCTTGTGCAGGGTTACTGAAAAGTGCAAAGTTTACAGCAGAGGAACCGTCCCGGAAGGTTCAGAACAAGTTGAAAACGACTTGGGGGACTGCTGTCTTTGTTTACAATGATGAGGTGGGTGCTGCCGCCCCTGGACTGTATGGAACTTTGTCGTCTCGTGCATACTGGGGAAAACGGGCTGCGGGGCAAATTGAAGATGTGGGGCCGAAACAAGCACCTTTTGGAAATCCTTTGCTACATGTTGACGCAGGTGACTTTGCCCAGCTCCGGCCAGTGCCGAAAGGGAGCCCTAGCCTCATGGAAGCATTTCTAATGTCCCGCAAAGAATATGCGAATGAAGGCCGCGTGCGGCCATTGACCGACATGGAGATGTTAGGCCTGAAAACTTTTGATTTGGTTGCGGAGACCTGCGTAGAGTTTAAAGGGACCTACCGATTCAAGGAAAACGATCCCTTGATCCGTCTGCTGCAGATTATGCGCACTGTCGGCGGCGCAGAAGTACCAGAGACATTGAGGCAACAAATCTTGAGTCGTATTCAATTGGGTGGCAAAGATCCACGAGCAAAGCTATTCTATAGATTCCCTAAATCGGTGCTTGGATCGGATGTTTTTTCAGACAATAACTTTTGCAACGGGATGCACAGTGCGGTGAACTGGGAGCAGGTTTCGCGGATGCAGCAAGTGTGGGCTGCCCGCAACGCCCGTGCTAGTCGGGGTCCGCAAGCTTTGCAAAATAGCCGTGCAGGAGAACCACAGTATTATTGGGAAACCTTTTGCCCGTATTTGAGTCGCGCGCATTGGAGAATGGCGCCGGTGTTCGAAAAATGTCTGGGAAGGCTATCGGCATCTCGTGGCCAACTTCTGTTCTTATCACAACGTGTTGACAGAGCACAAGCACAGCAACATGCTCATGACAAGGAGCCTTGGCTTTTTGTTGCATGCAATCTATTGTTTTCTGTTTCTAACCTTTTTTTTTGGTTGGGCGGTTGCGCCGGACGATCTGCAGGCTTTGCTACGCAGCGCTCTACGGCATGTGAACATGACTGATACAGGGAAGCTAGCAGGGCTTTGCCCTTTATATCTTGGAATGCCAGTGAAAGTAACTCACAAACTCTGTCCGCCAGAAGTGGTTCAGGAGGCAACAGGAGAAATATTACAGATTGGCTTCCACGAAGAAGAACGGTATGGTTTACCTCGTCAGTTGCACAGGCCTGGAGGTATGCCACACAAAGGGCATCCATGTTGGAGTAGGGGTTGGGTAAAGCTCGACATGGTTCCACGTTGGGTCGAGATTCGGCTTCATGGCTGCACTGCTGATTTTACGGGTACTGGCCGACCAGGCGTGTACTTGGTGGAGCCTACCAATGCTGACTGGGATTTGCAATACCAAGCAACTGCCATAGTCAACCATCCCAATGAAGTGCCGAAGCGCAAGAAAGTCCCTAGAATCAAGGTTGGCCTTCGAAGTTCTCAGCTACCCATAGCTCCAGCTGGGGTAGGAACCTTTAACAACATGCAAGGTAAAACGGCCAAAGATGAGAAATCAGTGCCAATGGGCCATACTATTGACCTGAAACTGCTGGATGGCAATGATGACAAGTGGTTGCACTACTACATGATTCTTGGAAGGGCCACGTCCCTCGCAACAACCTTGCTGTTAAATTTTCCGGAGGATGCAAATGGGGAACCAGATTGGACCATTTTTGAAAATGGCCCTCCCGAGTATTTGATCCATGTCTTTGCTGAATTGGAGAAACGATACGAAAAGACCCAAAAGCTTGTGACGCTGCGCCAAGCAGATCTGAAAATCTTTCCTTCTTTCGCTTGCCTGCCAGCTCGGCATAAAGGTCTGGGAAACGAATATGTGTACAACACTGCTGAGTGGGATGCTGCCGTGGCGCAGCGGTCGCAGAAGAGAAAACCGGACAGCAGCCACCGGAACTTAGCGGAACGTTTAGAGAGACGGGCAGAGGAGCCGCCGAGAAGAAAACGGAAATAGAGGTGGCAAGTCTTGACTGGAGAACCGAACGTATTCTGCTCAGCTGTGTGTCTTGCTGTTGAGCCTGAGCTTGGCTATGGAACGATGCTGAAAGATGCCGTAGAGCTACGGCGTCCTGAACTACATGTTTGCAATACATTCTGACTAAGGCCCAAAGCTGGCCTGAAAAAAAGGCGTGCCGCCATGAAAAATGAAAACAGACTATTTGCTTGCCTGCAGGCAACTAGCAGCTTTCAATGAACTGTGGAGAAAGCAAAGCAAAACATAGCCGGTGCCATTGCCAGTTTCATGTCGTTGCGATGGTTGGGTCTGAAGGAAGAATCACAGTTTGCCTTTGTTGTTTGTCGAGGCTTTGAACATTGTTGATCATTCGAACTCTATCAGGATACTTGCGCATTCGAATTTTAGGTCGACATGTTGAGGCAAAGCGACAGCTTGGCAGAGGGAGGGAGGGAGGATGCCAAGAAAGACCTTAGCGTTGGTGAGTTTGACAAACAAGTTGATCACAATATGTGATTTCGACAGATTTCAGAGCATCGTGACTAATCATTGCGTGGAAATCAGACCATGCACTTAGATGTTCACATCAGTGTTCGTGCAGAGCACACTTGGCTCAGAATCGTGGCAATTTCATGATGTGGCTGACACACAGGAGTCGTTTTTAATTGCTTTGGAAGGGATCAATCTGTCCACAGGTCCAGGTGCACATGGGGATCAATGCACTGAGTGCTCCGCAGCAACTTTCGTTGCGTCCAAATCACGTCCGAATCGTTCTGACCACAAATGAGAGGACCGGTGGGGGCACACGGCAAGATGAATATGGCTTTCTGCAGGTTTGTTTCCTGGCTGGTCTTTCCTGTGCAATGGACCCTGGGATCTTGAACTAGGTTTCTGATCGCTAAGCCAATATTATCAATAGTATATCCGGGTGGTTCGTAGCCATTTGGTTCGCAAACTCCAGGAAGCGTGCCTGCCATGCTGAGACGGTATTTCAAACGTAGCACAGCCTTGCGAAATCTAAGGCTGCTAAGACGCTGCGCCAAATTTGCATGGCAAGTCCAACAATCTGAACTCAGCAGGGGAGCCAAAGTTGCTCAATGGCGGTTGGTTGCTCGGGGGCGTGGTAAGCCGGCCATAAAACCAGCGGAGGCCTACTGCTTAAAAAACGGCAGAATACATTTTGAAAGTTGGCTGAAGGCCAGAAAATTGCACAAATTCTTGACACCTGGTTTGGAAAGGAACGGCTACTTCCATTTTCTGAGCAAGAAGAAACCTGCTCCGGCCCACTGGCTGCGTGCATATCATGGAACGTGGTTCTATTCATTGGCCGCTATTGTGCGCATTGGCAGATTGCTGGAATCTCACAGCATTGACCTGGGGCACGAGTTTTGGCAACCTGGTGTTTACGTAAGCCCTCGCTGGGACACAGCGCGTTGGTATGCGAGAGGGCACAAACTATTCCCATTTGAGTGCGCATATCACCGCGTCATACTGGAGGTGAGGGTGAACTTTGAAAATGTGTTGCGTAATCGCTCAAGAGGTGGTGGTCAATGGGTGTTTCATTCAAAAGATGTCCACATCCATTCTGTCTGGGTGGAAGCCAATACAACCATTGAAAAAGGAGAAGAACGCTGTGACGAGTGGCGCCCTGAACTGGAGGTCAACCACCTGGCAATCAGGTGTTAATTTTTGGAGGTGATATGCATTGCATTAAAATCGGATGGATCGACTTCTGGCCAGCTTCCTTCTGCAAGTTCCTGGCTGTGACTGCGAACAAAAAATTGCGTTGTTTGCATGCCTCTATAGCCTCCAACCGAGAAGTGCTCATTGGCAGTTTCGAGAAACCCGGGTGAATACTTCGCTGTCTAGGCTTCGTCTGAGTAAAATTCCGACTCGTAGTTCTTGCTGAATGTTGCTTTCAGTCTAGCTTGTATCTTCTCCACCACAGTGTGGTGCATGCCGCATTTGCAGGACGGGAGCTGTATACCACGCGATGGTGCTGCTGCGACCAGAGGAGCAAGGGTGTCAGAATGATGTCAGAAATGCGTAGGCAAAGCGGCACCTGTTTTGGCAGAGGGAGGGAGGGAGGATGCCAAAAAAGATTTCCGCGTGATAAGAGTTTGACAGTGAAAGCATGCACATTGCTATGTGAATGTGCATGACCATCCAGTTTTTCACGGTCAGAACCGCGTAGGCAAAGCGGCTATAGGAGTGTGACAATGAAAACATGCAGGTTGCATTATGGATATGCATGACCACCCAGTTTTGCAGGAGTGTCGCACGTTCAAAGCTTCATTGCACACAGGATGTACGGCCACTGTTATCCGGGAGTCTGTTGAGGTTCAAGTACGCTGTGAGGGTGGAGTACCAACTTTCAACTCGGTGTGGCCCTGCAGCTGCGGCACAATGCCAAAACTTCCCATGGAAGATGAGTCACTGCGCCTCAAGCCCTTCGTGCGACTTTGGTGCAATGCTGAAGCAGCAGAATCCAGATGGGAGCAAGTCCAGCGCATGGTGGATGCCCTCGAACTGGCATGTCGGACGGTGGTTACGCAGATGCATTGGGTTTCCTTTGCAGTTCTATGCTCCATGTTGACGCAGGTTCGATTGGAGGTGCCAGGGGTCGAATCCCCATATCGTGCTGACCAATGATCACATCATCACCTTACCCTCCGACAGTGCTCACCTATACCAGATCCATGACTGCAGCCAAGGCCATGGCCTGGATCCAAGACCTAGACGCCGCTGTTATATTGCTGCAAGATTGGGCATTTGCTGCCTCAGACCTGTTGGATGAAGAGATGCGATTCTTTCTACGCTCTGTGAAAGCAGCACTTGCTGATTTCACATTGCTAGTCAGAGCAGGAAGTCTTTCCTCAGCGAGACGTCCATTTGTGCCGCTCCACGAACTGGTTGATGTATGAGGGCTACCGCCGATTCCAGTTAGCACATCCACCATTTAGGTTGGGTGTAACATCTCAACCGGTCTTTTTGATTTCATCCGCGAGTGGATGGCCCCGCCTGGCCGTATGGAGCAGTCTGCACCGCAGTGGTCAAAACAGGATGATAACTGCAAAGGGTATGGGAACACATGGGGAACTGTCTTGTCCTCCGAGCCACATCTTTTCTGTGCACTCATTGGACATGGGTGCGTTGCCTCTGGACCGCATGTCATGAGTGATCATTGGCTTGCCACGACATGATGTTTTTGCTTACTTTGCTTTGCCTCATTTGAATGCACAGGTTTTGATTCGATTGATATATCATTCATGGAGCCGCGAAAAAAATGATGCAGCGCCAAAAGACCAACAAAGGGGAGGAAGGTGCACAAGAACTGGTTGAACTTTCTTGAGACATCATGAACACTGATGATGTCAGGGGCCACAATTCACCACAGCTATGTCTACATTCTTCTAGTCGCTATTTCTGGTACGGGGGAGTCCCCATGTCATTGCTGAGTTGGCGGTTTCTGGCATTTTTCATTTAGATTTGCTCGTAGGAGCGGCTTGCACCATGCCAAGGACTTCTGTCGAGTTGTTTGAATGCATGTGTTGAAGATATTGTGGAAGGCGCTCATAGAAATTGTCGGGGATGGAATGCGCTCTTGCATCTATGCAAGCCCAATGGGAGGGAGGGAGGGTCTCTAAAAGAAAACATATATATTCTTGCCTAATATGGTTTCACCCTTTTAATTTATAACAGTAGAAGTGTTCCTGCAGACCACGTGGGATTGTTTGAAGATGGCTTTGAACATGTTGTTGCTGCTGAGGACGTGATGCTCACATGCAGCGGCACTCATGCAGTGGTTCATGTTCCGCATTCAAGACGTGGCATGCTTGGGTTTGATCCCATTTACGGAATAAAAAATGCGAACCCGAGGATGAACCTGAAGCGAAACATTTCCATAAAAACATAGCCATGCACGTGGAAATAAATAGTTACATATGTATATATATAACATGTTTTTTATGTCTCTATATATATATATATATATAGATATATAAATATGAATTTATATTCTATATAGAACTAAGCAGTATTAATTCTGTTTTATTTGTAGATATGTTTCAGTGTTGTTTGTCTTTGTGGCTGTTTCCGCCGGTCTTTGAAATGAGACCAAAAACCACCAGTGTTCACATCACTGTTCGTGCAGAGCACAGTTAGCCCAGAATCGTTGCAATTTCGTCATATGGCTGACACGCACCAATCGTTTTCAGTTGCTTTGGAGGTTGGCATGGCTCCATTCGCCATATGCATGAAATGATCAACCAATGGATGTTTGGAAGGGATCAATCTATCCACGGATGCACATGAGGACCAATGCAATGATTGATCCACAGCAACTAGAAAGACGTCCAAATTGCGTCGTAGGCTTGAGCTCACAGTGCTGTTCCCGACATGCAGGAAAAAATGGTTTGCTCTGTGCCGTTTTGCTTTTGGGTTCTCTGGCCCACCTTGTTTTTTATGGTCGTTGGTGAGGTTCAGTTGTGCATTAATTCGGGGGTAGGGGTTGACCACTTAAGCCGTCCAGAGGGTTGTGACTTGAACTTCGAGGGCCTTGAGCCTTTTCACGAAATTTTGCATGCGTTCGTGGATGCATCAATTTTCATCAACTAGTTCCCCACTGCACCCCTATCTCATGCGTGCTCCCTCTCTAGGTCAGGTTTGGGTCCTTCGCGTGCCGAGGTAGGTTTTGGCTCTCGCCTTGTAGGTTGTGTCAGGCGCTTCCGTCCGCCCCCCTCCTCTGGTCGGTGTTTGGCCCGTCGTCCGTCCGCTTTTTCTTTTCCCTTGCCCTTTCAGGGTTTGCCCGCTCTGGGCTAGGTGTGTTGGTGTTGGTGTTTTCCCTTTTTCCTCTCCTCTTTTGCGTTCCCCGTCTCGTGTCCCGGTTAAGTAGCTGCCATCTCATTCATTTCCATCGTCATCTCATTTCCATTCCCCGTTCATCTTCACCTTCATCTCATTTGTCGGAGCCTTAAAAAGCCCCGCTGCTGCGGGGCATGTGTGTGAGCCATCTGAAGAGATGTAAAACTTCTAAGTTTCGCAGGAGGCAGTGGCCCACTCATGAGTCCACTGCCAACGAAGCTACTCATGAGTTGGGAGGATATCGGGACTGATCACCCCGACGTACCTGCACTTTTGTCAAATCCAATTTTCGTCAGTGGCAACCGGCTAAGCCAAGAGCCGGCATGTCAATTTTTCAAACAGTTTTTCGGACCAAACTCGAACTTTAGGACTTCCAGTCGGCGTCAGGTGGGAACAATTTGGCTTAGTTGAATGTACTCGTCATTAGGGAAGGGTCTGCTTCCAATTTTTCCATTCTGCACTGGCTATGGCGATGGTAGCTTCTTGATACTTTGTCGGGCCTCTTCGCCGACCCACCTGTCAGGTGTAATTGGAGTGTTTTTGCACGTAAGATGCATTCCACAACAAAAATTGCAATGACAGTTCTGAGCAAGTGTGTGTTACAGGTATTTTATACATATGCACAATGTAACAAACATGAATGAACAATTTCGAACATCTAAGGGGACAGAGATAGGGCCTGCTACGTGGAGATTGATCTGATATTCACGCGCGGTATGGATCGTTCATGGCTCGTATAGGATCAACATCTTCTGTAGTTCAGGACGTTGGTCTGTGCTGTGCGTGAAACTACTGATTAAAAACACAGCCCAAAATCCAAGAAGCATGCAGGGAAGGGCAAAAAGGCGAAAGTGCAGGAAGGGAGCTCCCTTGATCTGACCTGAGCTTTGGCTAGTATGCTGCAGCATACTAACCATAGCAATAAGTTCTGTAGCCTTTCAGGGCATTTGCACCAGCAGAAGTTAGCACATTATCTAGCCGCCGCCGATCAAACATGTTTTGCCAATCACGCTGTGGCAGTCATGCCCATCTTGGGTCCTGGGCAGGGCGTGAGTCAGAGTGGCACCAAACCTCCGTCCTATTCTCCCAAAGAACGCTTGGGACCTAGACGAACATCAAACTTATATAAATATAAATTTGAAGCATGAGGCGATAGAGAGAGAGGTCAGATCTTTGATCCTGCCAAAAGTTTTATATTCTCGCATATTCTCGCTGCATAAATGTGCTCATGATCTTCCATAATATTCCATCATCTATCCACAAAAATAGTCCACTACCCTCTTGACCCCAGGAATCTCAGGCGTGCCGCTGGCTGTTTTTCAGCCCTTGGCGGCTTCTGGGACCTTCAGTCTTCTCACTTTGGTCCGATGGAAAAATGGATGTGAAGTCATGGCTCAAAATTCCAAATCCAAACAAAACTATTGAATGGATTTGGCATGTCTTTGTCATATCTCGTTCATGAAGGTCTCAAGTGATGAGGATGACACCAAAAGATTCATCCCATTTCGAGCCAATCTCCCGAATAATTCAGCTGCTGGCCATGATCAACGATTGGCTCACTTGCCGTGTGACCGGGCGTGCTTGGCCCGATTCGCAAAAGACCTGGGGATGGCCAGCCTAATTCGCCAGCCGCTGAAAGCATTCTGGTTTTATAAACAGTTGCAATGCTTTCTTGCAAAGGCAAGGTACGGATGACAGTGAGAGGGTAGATTTGTGCAAGATCATCCTATATAGTTCACGTAAGAGAACAACTCAACACTAGTAAAACCATGACCCGCCAACGTCTATCACCATCTTAGCCCAGTCACCAACATGATGAAAGAGATGGCGATGAGAACTGTGCCACAATATTGCGGAAGCGAGGGCCAGTCTCCGTGCAACACTGCATCCACGAACATGTTGACCTTCAGTTGCCACCCTGAAATCATAAATGGTTTGCTGTTGTGACGGATGAATCGTCTTCACAGTGAATCATGAATCTGTCCTAATTTAAGCTTGAACGTGAAGGTTCACAAGATATGTTTGCAATTTGGAGTCTTAGCCAGGTTCCCATCATAGTTTTCCTACAAATCAACTTGAGAATTTCCGCTTCGGTGTCCAAATTTTGTTGGTGCCTGCCTGCTGGTAGATTGTTCAGGTAAAACATACCCAATTTTAGTTAGTACAAATTCAGCTATAGTTGCACAAATTCACCAAGACTAGCATTCTGAAAATCATACAGCCCTTATTCCAAATTTGCCCATATCAAATTCCAGTGCACAGCCCCTTCACTATTCTTCTTTGGTATAGCATTAGGCTTGGATAAAAAACATCACCACTTTCGAGGTAAAAAAGTTCCAGCAACCATAGGGCGTACCAAGTCGCTGGAGTACCCACATTGGCCCCAAGAGACACAAAGACAGGGCTGCTCACCGCCTTGCTGCAGGGAAAATTTGATGAAACTCCATCTTTTGCAGGGAAACCTATGTAGGGAAACAAAGGGAAACAACCATGCCAAAATTAGCCTCTGGTAAATTAACATAGACCCTGGCAGTCATCGGGGTTGGAAGATTAGTTTCCATTAAAACTAGGCTATTTTCAGGGTCTATGTTAATTTACCAGAGGCTAGTTGTGAGATGTCAATTTGCTTTGGTGTCATCGCATCTACTGTACAGGTCATTCCCTTGGGTTCATTTGTAGTAGCCCCCTCGACCTCCCCAAGCGGACCATTCGGCATGTTGAACCTATGAGCACATGAGTCAGCACGGGTTATATAATATACCCTCCGGTTCTGATTGTGTAAGAATATGTATACACGAGTTCAGGTTACCTCAGCAATATTCCATTTTGTTCTCGTGCAGTTTGCTCTCCAAATGGACTTGAATCACTCAGTTTACTCACCTTCAATCCCCAAACTAGCCGCCCAGGCGCCAAACCCCACGCCATGGAAGTGTTGTAGACCATGTCAAAGGCTGCGCTGCCAAAAACTAAGGACCAGTCCACTGTCGCGGAGCCTTGATCATGGTGAAAACTGCACAGCAAAAAAACAGTTCATTACCTCTGTTGCCAACAGTATCCGCAAGCGTACACATATGTGTATATCATGATGCTTTATATGGCATGTTGATATATATATATATATATATACTACGAGAATAAACGATAATATATATAATATGTGTCTGTGTGTGAGTGAGAATGTAACAAGGCATCTCGGCAACATGAACGCGTTGGTTTGACATCCTTGAACTTCTCAACAAACTGCAGCGTGCAATCCCATCCCCAGAATACTACATACTCCTCCGAGGACTCAACTTGGATCCTATGAGAAGTTAATACTACAGGGGTGGGTATCTATACATGGCCATCTGCTGCACGGATAAAGTTTTTTTTAATGATGAAACATATAACCGGCGTGAATATGTATATTTAATGTTCAAGATATTTCATTTCTCATTTCTATACATGCACAGAAATCCGAAAACTAGCGCCCCTCCAGAAAAGCTGCTGCTCCACCATCGATCTTCCAAGCCCAGGAAGGACAGAAGCAGCACCACGGGCAAACCCAAAACAGTGGCCTTTTGGGGAACCGATGGCAGGGCTACTGGCATGATCTTGGAAGTGTTTGGCAAATGAATTGAACATGTTGTTAGAAGTCATCAGTGATTAGTGTCATTCTGCAGCAGTTATAAAGTTATAATTATAAGTCAAAGTTATTAATATACCATAATAAATAAATAAATAAATAAATATATATACACACCGTAATGGAGGTTGTTTAAAGTCTTGTAAATCATAAGTCATAAGTTGAAAGACTCACTTAATCACCAATCATGAATCCTTTTGCTGGATAGCAGTAGGCCATGATTCTGTATAAGTATAAGGATCTCTGCAGCCAAGGGACCACAAGGCCCAAGGTTCCGACCACCCCCAGGACCACATAGGCTGGAGGCGTCCCCAAGCGAAGCTTGAAGGCAACCTTGTAGCAGGCCTTAGCCAATGAGACATGATCTGTAGCACAGCTGCTTTGGGTTGGTCCACGTTTGTGTTCGAAAAGATGTGATGTGAAATGATATGCTGCTTGGCTCAAGTTTGGTGGCTCTAAGCCTTCCTCCGGATGGGTTTGAGGAAAACACATTCTTTGTGTGTGCGTGTGTGAATTGATGTCTCTCTCTCTCCATCGCCATCCCACAGGTCCATGTGAATTGATGTACCCCGGGTCCCTGGTAATCAACACATGGCAATGGAGAATCCCGCGCTAGATGATTTTACCATTGAAGTGACCCATCCAAAGTGGATTTCCTGCTGAGTTGCAGCTGCCACCACAGCCAGCAGGGCGCAACAAGTTCCCAGCAACACGTTGAGAGCAGAGTCGCCTAGCCGCATGTATCGCAACCCACCCTACTGGGCTGAAAGCACAAGGTCTGCAGCTGGCCTATGATGGGTGACAATAGTGCCATACCATCTTGCACAGAATGCATTCCAACTGCCTATGGTTGCGTCCGATCTGTTCTTGGCTGAAATCAACTCTTGACACTACCGACAAAATGGTCAGGTAAAATGGGGATCGAATCTCGCCTATAAATTAACCTTTAGCTAAGCGCGGACATACTGCACAATAATAACAACATAATTACTATAATTTAAGACCTACCGACGTAGATGTTTTTGATGTATATATCCTTCTTTATTGCTCCGGTATTTACAGAGAACAAACCAACATAACTCCCTTGCGCTAGGGCTTAGGGAGTCAACCCGCCGTCCTGCAACTCACCCGAAATGTAATAGGCGCCTTGAAACTTGGCGTGCGCCGCCAAAGCTAAAACGCCTGGCAGCCAAGTTGCAGAGGACAAGATGATGTCAAGTCAAAATAAACAATCAATGAACAATCATGAATAGTCAAAGTAGCCAAATCTGAAACTAAGCCAGCAACCACTGGCCATGGTTTGGATTCAGAAAAGGCACTAGGATCGGACTTGCAGCAGTCAAACATTGAAAGACATCCTGCTCTTGTCCGGTTTGGATCTCCGAGCCCAGGTTAGGGTTGATATATTTTGCTGCCAATCGCATGATCATGATGGACCATGATGGACCATGATGGACCATGATGGACCATGATGGACAATAAAGGCCCGAACTCACCTACAACCGCCCCCAGTGCCAGCAGCATTCCACACCTGCAAAAGCCAAAAGTACCGCCAAAATACCTTAGAGGCTTCAGTCTGTGGTGACGACTCTCCAAATGATCACCCTGTCTGCGAACAAAGGGCGAAGCGATGTCAGAGGTTCCTCCAGGAAAACTCGACTTAGGATTGCCACCTTAGCCCAGTCGCTCAAGGCGAAAAAGGTCAAACCAGGAGAACTGACGCAGGACATTGGCGCATGCGACAATTCTGGATTTTTTGAAATCTAGGAATCGAGGTGGTCTGCAAATAATCATAAATAATCCATAATAATCTAAATGCAACTAAACAATAAACAAATTTTCTTCTGTGCCGCTGTGACTTTTCATATCTTTTCATCTTGCCATATCTTGCCATATCTTGCGCCTGTGCAGGACCAGTGCCAAAAAGGCATTGCACCAGACCAGCTGGAGCCAAGGCAAGGGCTTGGACCTGAGAGATGCCAAATGCCCAGCATGCAGAGCTTCGGAAGGTTTCTTTTGGCGTTTCGTCTAGGCCTCCGTTTGGCAAATGACATTAGATAATAGAAATGATAATTATAGACTTATAGATAATATTAGATAGTAGTTTGACTCATACCCGCACATAAACACATCCGTTTTGAGAGGGGTGCAAGAACCCGCTGGGTGAGATTGGCTGAGGGTCAACAATATCTTCTATGAGTTCCTCATGTGTGTGCATCATTAATAAGTGAATCCCACATCAAACGCAATCAATCAATCGATCAATCAATCAATCAATCCATCGATCACTCACTCACTCACTCACTCAATCAATCGATCACTCACTCAGTCAATCAATCACTCAATTAATCAATCAGATGTCCACGGAGGAAACCATACCAGGATTTTGGGCAATACATGGATTGTAGAGGAGCAAACGCGGGAGCAGCTTCGCACCATTTCGTAGCCGAAGAGCCAAGCCGTAGTTGGAGACAACCTTGGTCATGGGGCAGGTGCCACAATTGTTAGGTGCCCAGTGCCCAGTTGATCCCATCTGGCTTCAGGTTGCCAAGCCTTGCCAAGCCGCCCAAAGCGGGAGAAACACGCAAACATCTTTGGCACTCGCCAGAAAGGGACTGGAATCATCCTTCCTGCAAGCCCATGCCAGTGGTAGCAGTAAAGTCATCATGGCAATGTGCACATACCTTAGTGGTCGAGCAAGCAGTCGGTAGATGCATGCAGGACAGGATGCACTTATGACTGCTTCTAATGATAAGGGTCCCCAAAATCAAATTGTGGACTCTCCACCAAAATACGAGCACCTTGCTGAAAATTGGGGTCCGATATTCTGCAGAAAACCCACGTAATCCCAGGTATGAATCACAACTTGTGTAATCCGTGATCCAATCATCACGCCAATGGCCATCATAGCCAGAGCGTGGGGTGTCTGAAAACCGGAACCGGAGAATGACACTAGACCTCTTCTCCTGAGACGATGTTGATTCACCAGCCCGAAAGCAACCTACTCTGGAACACTTCCGGTTGCCCATCATCAGTTGCATTGTCTCTTTGAGCTCATTGTATGTTGTAATTCATGCCAGGCAACGCCACAAAGCCAGGCGCATGTAAATGATTCTGTGCGCTGCGGGTCAGTTGGGTGGTGCAAACTGTGGCAACCGAGATGAGGCACACGGAGCAAAGACCTGTGCTGCGAGGTCAAGAAGTTGAAGGACACATTTGAATACACATAGTTACTGAATGCCACGACATGTCACTAGTTATCACTATACTTCTTAGATCTTATTATATATATATGTGTGTAGATATAGGTTGTCTTTTCTGTTATATATCAAATACCATAATATACTGATGGATAATACTACTGCGTGACCTCAAAAAATTATAGTCTCTAACAATCTTTGGAACCTTTAAAGCCAGGATTTGATTCGGAATTTGAGACCTAAAGCAGCATCACAGGCCACCCCCAGCTATAACAATCGGCCTGCTCGATGCTCTGCGCCCATCTTGCATCCTCAAATGCTGAGGATGGGAAAAAGTTGCCAACTGGGTTAACTACACCAGCGCGATTGAAACAAAACATTTAAAACAGGTGTTGGACACAAGGACTTTCATGGTTATCAGTTATCAGTGGATATTGAAACTATTTCTTGGCTTCGACCTCTCAAGCAATATACTATGAAGTTAGATCATTTGTACATGATTACAATCACACGCGTTTGTTTATCGACATTACAATCAGTTTTGTCAAATCATTAATACATGATTATCATCATGTTGACGTGCTTTAGTGTTGTCATGCAGTTGTTCACATATCAATCCATCAACCAGCTCTTGGGCCCACATCATGCTATTGCCTCAGCACAGTCCGTGGTTTGGATCCAGAAAAATACGCAGCTGGATGGTGGTTCAACCCTTCGAGCGGCTCAAATAATGTCAAATAAAACACTCACTCATCATCACTAATTCATAACTAAATGTAGCTTTGTACCATAAACAATATACTTAGTCACAATGACAATCATTATTTCCTTCATGTTCCTCTTGAATTCATGTGATGAGTGGTTCCCTGTTGAACACAACTGAAACCAACCTGAACCCAACTGTCCCAAAACCTGGCAGCTGGGCAAGCATCAAGTCCCGTCAGCGACTCTAAGGTTCATGAAAAGCGGGCATTATTTGCGTCTGAAAATCTGTAATGATGTGGCAAAGGCTGGAAGTCTAGCAGGAGTTTTGTCTCTAGGGGAACGGGCAGAAGAAAGACAACCTCTCTCCGATTCTTAAGGAGGCGTGGCGGCCAAACCACTTATCTGGATTTGCAGCGGGTTTGGAAAATCATCCGGCTTCTGCGATGATTGTTTGCAGCAACATGTGGAGTCAGCAACAAGGCTGTCTTCCCCCCACAAGATTCCTAATTATCCAGAAAACATCCACCCAAAAAATACTGGCTCCATGCCTGAGGGCTATCTATGTGATTCCCTCAGCTTTATGTATTATGGGTCCTTGGCTTGTGCAAGTTTGGTCACCAGCTACAACTTTCGCATGGCACATCTGAATTGCTAGGTATGCTGCATTGCTCAGTAAAAACGGCTGCAAATTTTGGAGTCAGCACAAGGCTCCGACTGATATGACTGATTGCTCTTAGGTCACACTTTAGACGTACTAATTACCCTCTGGTAAACTAACATAGCTATTGAAAATGGCCATTTATAGTGAGTTGTCCCATTAAAAATGGTGATTTTCCATAGTTATGTTAGTTCACCAGAGGGTAATCACTAATCACTAAAGTCACTCAAACATACCTCCAGCCTCCAACATCCTCCAACCTAAATGGGGACGTCAAGTGTGACCTTGGATGACCTTGGATGACCTTGGCACCTTGGCGGAAAATACATTCCACAGTAGCAGTCGTTGCAACGAAAAATCAGCAGCTACGGATGATTTCCCTATGAAACATAAGTTGTTTTGCCGTTGCCAATTTTGATTCCCAGATGGTATGTATTTATATGTCTTTATATCATTCTATATCTCTATGTCCCTACCCTGACAGCAAGCGATGCGCATGCACATTTTCCACTGTGCCGTGCCCTGCCCACAACTCGCACTGGCTCATCCCACAGCTTTGGTCGGGATGGCACCCGCCGAGGGGGGCCTGAGTGGATCCCGGTTCGGGGCGTGACACCCTGGGGCTCAGAGTTCGAAACTCAGTAGTAAATCCTTCATCTCCTGGAAGTTTTTGGTCTCCATCTGGGCCTAAAACATGAAATACCACAGACCCAAAACCCAAGGAGCTCCTGTTTCTTCGCCCATCATGAGTGAGTGGTGGAGCCCCACTTCTTCTAGAGTTTTTGGATGCTGCCATGAAACCGTAGCACTGAATTAGATCTTCTTTAAAAATAGATGAAATCACGTTTCCACAGAGAATAGTCACATCAAGGGAAGGTTAAAGAAACGGAACAGCCCAAAGTCCTCATCTTGCATGGCATCCTCCAGCCTGACAACGAATTTCGCATCCGTGCGAATACCTTGGCGGTTTGAAAGTTTCGGGTCCACAATCTCTTTGAATTGGATGCATCATTAGCACAAATGCCGAAGCAATGGCTTGTCCTTTCAGTCACTGAATTGATAATGAAGCCCTCGGAACTCACATATGGAAAAGTCAAGAAGTCATGTTGTATGTACGACTGTCTGCTCCTCTGGCAAGTTAGCTAGCCTGGAGCAATGAACCACCCTTCTTCAATGCCCTGTTTCTGGATTAATTAATCTGGATTAGATTCCCAGTTCTTCACGGCGTTCCACATGTCCATCTCCCATGGCAATTAGCCCAGAGGCTCTCCACCACCTGGGCGATACTTCTCTCAAGACCCTGCACTGGATGTTGCTGGAAAAACGCCTGGCAGCGGCAGTCTGCGAGATGTAAAAAAAACAAATAAACAACATATAACAAAATATGTGCTGTATATGTGCTGTGTTATTAAATATGGTTCCCCGTACATATATATATATATTTATTTATTTATATGTATATTTATATTTATATTTATTTATCTATTTATTAAAAAAGAGTTACTTCCATGGAGTAGAGGTTCAGGTGGATCCCCAATCGTCAAGAAATACAAATAGAATATGAACATACGTGCGGTGGTTGTGTGAAATAGGAACGTTCTGAGCTGGTTGCATTCCCGCTTACCACCAGGTTGCCATGGACTTAAAACCCTCAATTTGTGTTGTACAATCGTTGGATGATACTACCACCCAACAATGCCATTTTGGATCTTTCGGGGACAATAGGTAGAGGTCCGGTTTGGCTTACCAGATATCATCATGTGCCTACTGGAGGTTCAATAAGGGCGACCTCTCTATCAATCAACAAACCAGTGGGAACTGATGGGAAATGGACATCTATATCATCTATGATTCTATGTTTTCGTCGCTTCTATCACCATCCCCAGCAGTCACCAGGCACCTCCACGGCATTGGCGTGGCCCTTGTCGGGCACACTTCCAGCAGCTAGCTGGATGACCAGGCCCAAGAGTCTCACGCTGGCGCCCTTCCTAGGTTCTCATGTTTGGGATCCCAACATGGGTCCAATGCAAAAATATGGTTTCATCGTATTTAAGGGGAGAGATTGCCACTTCGTGGGTAGCGAATACTTGGCGAATGGTTGTTCACTGGATATGCATAGCCAACCACAACTGGGAGGGAAGGTTTTTACAGTGGGAAGAAAGAATATAGTAGTTCTGTGCCCCAAATGGTGTCCAAACAATAACCTACTCCACGCTAGCCACCCCTTTCTGCTTACTTGCTATTCTGTAGCGTGACATGCCCACTGGCGGTAGTTGTTTATGCAAATCATGTTCATGAATGGGATGAGTCAAACCAAAAGTACACCACAAGGGGGTTACGAACCGTTCATAAATTTCATAAGCCCCCTTTTTACCCAAAGGAAAAAAATGCCAAACATCTGAATCCAGAGCAAGCCTCAGCCGCGCAATGATAGACCTCCGCCGTTGGATAAACCAACGCCAGGCCAATCGCGCACCGTCGGGATCTGAAGATACGCCCTGTTCGCGGTTGAAAAAAGGTTGCGCAATGATCGACAATTGGGTTTGTCTGAAAATAGTGTACCCCTACACCCAATGGTTAATGATCATTATCCCTACTAAATGGCTATAATTGGGGGTATGCCCCATTTTCAGACATACCCAATTAGAAATTGACCTGTGACCTCTTTGGCCCTGGAAAAACTGGTCGAAGAACCACTATGGTTGCCATCCAATATGGGTGTGTGCTGTGGCATGCTGTGGTCATGTTTTCCATGAATCAGTCCTGGCCATTCTCTAGCAGCTGTCACAGGTGTTGAAAACTTGTTCAACTGTATACCAAAAAAATATACCAATTAAATATCTATAATTTAATCTCCATTATATACCCACTATCTCCCAAATGTACAATATATATATATATATATATCATGTTTTCCCGCAACGGTTCCCTGTCGCGACCTGCACTGGATACATGATGTCCTGCAGACGCACGCCATTGCGGCCACCCAGCGCCATGTCCAAGGTCTTTAGCCGAAGATCACGTCGGGTCGCGGAACCCAAGGCAGTGTAGATGCTCAATCGTACCGCCTGGGGCCGCTGGACCATGCTACTGGCAGTGATGTACTGGAAAATGGATCCCCCTTGATTGATGGGTAGGTACCCTTACCCCACCATTCCATAAAAATCTGATTTATGTAATGGTTGGGTACAGGTATATTTGTATAGAATGGATCCTTTTTTGGGCTTATATGTTATGGAATACCACCATTGTACTACCTAGCAGGCCGGATATGCAAAAAAATACTTCGCCGCTATGTTATGGAAATTGCAAAACAATGAAATCTTGAAACCAAGAAAAATTGATTTATATATTGTGGAACGGGCTGCATCTTGAGGGGGTCATTTTAAGGTATCTTAAGATATTTTAAGAATGCAAAATTATTGCTTATGTTCGGACACGTTATCATACTCGAACCATCCATTTTATAAACAACATAGGTGTTTGTGAAGTTCCCCTTGTATGAAATGGAACTGCTATCAAGTGTTCCCAATGAAATTCAAATTGGGTTTACCTGGGGCGCCCTAAGTGCCAGAAAAAAAAGTGATATTCAACAAAACCTACTTTTTGAAGATCCGGGATGGGAAAGGCTTGAAAATTTGAAATATCGCAATTTTTGGTCATTTCAGGTGTTCTCAGGTTCTTCACACGCTTTGGCCGCCCTTTCCATTACATAATATGTAAAAGGCAATCTTGGCTGAAGATATGAAAAAGGCAATCCAAAAAAATTGGGTGATATGCCTGAGCTAAACTCTCACAACAGTTGAAAACAGGTTTGCAACATATTTCTTGTAGAAACAAAAAAACAAAACACAAATATCGCGGGAATTTGCGGGAATATCGCGGAAATTTGCGGGAATATCGCGGAAATTTGCGGACATATGTTTCAACCATTTTAAAACCAACATTTCCGGCATGTGTGGCCATGGCCCAAAAATTTCAAGATCCCGCCTCTCTATCTTTTATTATATTTCCACAGAACCAATTCTCCGAATCCATGGCGCCCAGACTTAAAAGAGAACGAGGCTGTGGGTGCCGCAATTTGGCAAAATCATTTATCGCATTTTTTTGGTTTTATCGCAATTTTTCCATCGCGTTTTTTCAAACCAAGATGGTCCATCGCGTTTTTTTCCTGCACTCGGGTTTCGCAGGTATGTTATATTTCAAGACGTTCCATTTCATACAAATCATTTTCGGGGTTGTTCAAAAATTATGGTACCCGAAAACTGCCTTTACGCCACCTTTTCGCGCACCTTTCGCGCCCCAGCAGAATCGGGACAAGGAATTATGATCATGTTTTCGTGTGCAAGTATGTTTATAAATAGTGGTATGCAGACCTTTCGCGAACCTTTCGCCCGCCCTTTCGCGGTCTTGCGCCACTGCAGCAAAACACACACACCCATATCTGCAGATGTCACTCGGATACTAAAAGCCTTGAATGGGTTTTGGAACGACTCCCATTTAGGGGCCGGAAAATGGACGGAAAATGGAACAAGAAGAGGATCAAGAAGCGTCTCTTATTCCCCAAACAGTGTGGCCACATGTGGCCACACTGTAGGGGTTCTTACGGTAAGTGTTAAGGGTGGGTGTTCAATCGAGGTGGTACCGGTCGCGTCTGGCATTTTGCCTGTGAATTTCTGCCCAAAATGCCTCTTGTGACATGCCCATGTGCATTTCGACTGCGCAGGCTCGCACAAAGTTTGCTTCCCGCTCTTGGGATCGGTCTTCCTCCTCAACATCCTCCTCCCCAACATCATCGTCTTCCTCCTCCTCCTCCTCCTCAACATCCACATCATCATCTTCCTCTCATCATCTTCCTCTGATGATCATCACCAGCATCACCATCATCATCATCATCAACATCATCATCACCAACACCAACACCAACACCATCACCATCATCATCGTCATCGTCAACGTCATCGTCATCATCATCATCATCATCATCATCAGCATCAGCATCAGCATCACCATCATCATCAATCATCAATCATCAATCATCAATCATCAATCATCAATCATCATCATCATCATGATCATCATCATCATCATCATCATCATCAGCCTCATCAGCCTCATCAGCCTCATCCATCATCCATCATCCACCATCCATCATCCATCATCCATCATCCTCATCATCAATCATCAATCATCATCATCATCATCATCGTCATCATCATCATCATCATCATCATCAGCCTCATCCTCATCCTCATCATCAACATCATCACCCTCATCCTCATCCTCATCATTATCATCAACAACATCACCATCATCATCAACATCATCATCATCAAGATTAGCATCACCAACATGATATAACATGATCATACATTATCCTTTCACTCTCCCCACACTGTTCGGGGTCTCTTGCCAGGATAATATTTTTCAAGTGCCATATGGAGCCATATGGTGTCATTTCACACATCTTCATTTGAGTTTGACTCTCCTGAAGTTGACCAACATCTCTGGATGGTTGAAGCTTTCAAAACCGCCCAAAGATACTGATCACTGGTGATCATGACCTTAGTCGGATCGAACATGAAAAAACATTGAAAACCATCAAACAGTGTAGGATAACTAGGGTTGTTATGTGGCGAAATCAGCAATCAAGCTCTAGTTGTGGGTGGTTCCCATCAGTTTTGCGTATAGTTGGGATGGTTTCTTATCATTTATATATCACCACATCATGTAATTTCACGTTTCTATGGAACATCACCCTTTTTAATATAGGTAAGTCATCATAAATCAACACACACACACATATATATATATTTAAAACAATAATAGTAATAATAATATAGTATATATATTTTTTTAATGGACCATGTTCATCCATTTTCCATATATAGCCTGTTCATAAGCTAGAATAATAAATAAAGTAACCATATTCTTCCAAATCGTCCAGGTTCCACCAGGCCTGCGGGATGTCGGGACGCCTGGCAACTCGCCTTAGGGCGTGGTAGGGCGCATCCGTCTCCGCGTTGGCCAAAACGATCCTGGGTTTGTGGTCAAGGACTGCACACAACTTGTGGATTTTTCAGTTTATGTACACTGTTTTTGTTTGGCCCAACATGATCATCATTATATATCTATATACATATATTATACCATACCCCCCCGCCCCTCTCAAAAAAGTATGGCATTTTTACAGATATGGAAGTCATTTACTACAATAAATAATGCTGTCTCTCTCTCTCTCTCACTCCCTCCCTCCATCGCCATCAGCTCTCCCTGCCCGAGCTATAATTACAATCAATGGATCAACTTGGTGGATCCAACATTGACGGAATCACCAGGAAGCTACAATCGCAGCTTGGCACCATGACTATCAGGATATCGAGCATTCCTACGAACTGGGCGAAACATCGTCGGCAAATGGTTCCAACCTAAAGTTGAATGGACAAATCTCCAAAAGTTGCTTGATGAAGACCCGACCATTCCATTTCCAACCTGAAAATCAGAGATGGCCCAAGCTAACAGCCGAAAAAAATCGAAAAAACCTATCTTGAAATGCAGCCCGTCCAAACTTTACCCAGTTTAACTCCAAAGGTCTTGAACATCGACGTCTTGAGGTCATCGGGCAGTACATCCTGTCGATCCGGCGCATCCAACCAGCGCTGAAACCGTGATGTTGCCTCCTCAGCCAAGCCCTTGTCATGCGGCAAATACCTGAAGGTCAGCAGCGCCCAGCTGCCCAGCTGGCTTCAACTGAGGATGATTGGGTTCTCATGGGTTCTCCAAAACATGGGCAAATTGTGGCATGACATGGCATGACATTCTGAAAAGTCGAGCAGTTGAATTGAATGATCAGTTGATGGCCCATTTCTATCAACCCCCAGTCGCCAGATGTCGCCAGGTCACATGGCCATGAGACTCAAGATGCAGGCGCGCTTGTGACGCGTCAAATCAGTCTCTGAAGCGCTGATGGCCAAGCCCACCTGGCAGTTGGGACTTACCACCACGGGCAAATGACATAGGGGGCCTTTTTTTGTGTATGTTCATGTTTGTGGCATTTTTTTTCCGCCTACATTTTGGGCATATTCCGTCAATTATGTCAATTATTACAGAAGCCGCAATTATGTTTGAATATGGGGACTTGTCTGAAAATGTTGGGAGCACACCTGCATCATACTACATCCATTGGTTTATCACCATTTCCCCTTTGAAAATCACACTTTTTTGATCTTTTTTTGGGCAGGTCAGTCAATCAAACACTTTCAGACGCATCCACATGACCTATCACGGGGTGAACATTCCAAGCCATGTGCCATGGCTTTCTGTCAATTTGATCATCCCAAACTCCGAGAGTTTTGCTGGGGGTCAGGACCTGGGCCATCCTGGGCCGCAAAATTGGATAACTAACCCATCGCCGCCATACGCACCTCTTGCAGTGCATCGCGCAGCATGCCGTTGCCCACGGCTTCATGCAAGGTGGTGTCCCCAACAAAGGCGGCCATACGGTGGAGGCTACTGAGCACGTCTGACAGAGCTTGCCAAACATGGGCGCTTTTCCTAGGCTGGGAGGAATTAACCTGTGAGAATCTCTCGGAACAACCTTTAGCCTTTAGGATACAATCACATCAACTAACATATAGGATTATATAGGTAGTAATACGTACTGTTGTTGAATGATGTTATATGATAATGGCATCAATTGCCTAAGATCAAATGGTAGAAGTTATTTTGCCTACAAACAATTTCCATGGCAGAAATCGGGAGCATCCGGAGCTGGATGGGCCAGCATGGGCCAGCTGGATTCCGTCTCTTTTGGTTGGATTGCTTGTAGTGACTGACATGCACACACACACACCATATGCAATATACACACATAGCATCTATATAGCCTATATATAATTATATATATATATATATGTGTGTGTATTAGTTAGTTGAATTGTAATTTCTTTATGTGCATCACTATGCGCTCACCGGAGTTTTTGGACTGCCAGCGCAGTCCACTCATCAAACATATCCGACCCTCTTTTGTGCCTCAAACCTTTCAGGTTTGAACTGCCACTGGAATCCATGGAACATGATTAAACTAGCAGCATGTGGGTACCCATGTGGCAGTGTGTCAAAACCTTGTGCCTGGTGAACATCAAAATAGCTGGTAAATGGATGTTCATCCCACTAAAAATGGTATTAATAGGTATTGATCCATACCCATATAGAACATCATCGAACATGATAGCTGGTTGATCCTTGTGATCCTGGCCATGGATCTCCCCTTTGTAGGCCGACACCAGCCGCAGGAGCTCCGTCATTGGTAAACGACCTGGAGCCATGTGTGCCCTGGAAAATTCAATGAGAACAAAGATCAATAAGTGAATCAAAAAGATAATAAAGCTACTTCCTTACAATTCTTCCGAATTGATCTCAGAACAAACCATGAACCTCATTGGATCATATTGGATCATAGATCAACAGTACCTATACAGTACCTTATCCCTCATCTGGCCTTGTTTTGCAAATGCCATGGCGTCCAACAACAAGCCGATGCGATCCAAGGGATTCACATGGCCCGCCCTCAAGGCTGTGGCCAGCGGCCGCAAGAGGCTGGAGTCGTAGAGGACTCCTTGTGGTGTAATTTTCGGACAAACCCATGCAAGAGTTTGAATAAGTTCCGAATGCGCCTGAAAAAGAGTTGATGATGGTTAGTGATGGGGGGCTCACTGTTGCGGTGACCGATTCCAAAAAATCACGCCCCCAAGCCAGTGATCGTGGTGACTGCTTACCGCTGATACTTACATAAATCAGCACCAGAACAAGTGCTGCCGAGACGCTGTAGGGGGCCACTTGGCCGAAATTGAATTTTAGCCAAGCCCCCTCAGCTTTTCCAGGTGGCTCCCAAAGCATCTCTGGTGTATCCATCACCATCTGCTTTCTCTGAGAGTCGGGGCCTGGAAGAAGGGGAATGTGCCAAAGTTTCCTTAGATGTCAGATTTCCCAAGGCTTTCCGGTTGGGAATATCCGGAATCGTTCACCAAGCTGCAAATGGGCAATGATGCAGCCAATGCCGTGAAGAAAATTGAGATGAATTGAATACTTTCAGTGATGAAGTCACTCTAGTTCGCCACGCTACTTACTAATTTGGTCACATTCGTGCGCAATGGCCGGAAAAGATATCTACATGAAATGAAGTTGCCAAAACTATATAGATACCAGTGGGCAAACAGTCAAAATCAGCAGGCAAATCATCTACTTCCATTGCGAATTTCGGCAAGGTTTGTTTAACAAAAGGATCCACAATATGGATTTGGGGTAGTTTGGGTCAGAAATGATTGCCTTAAAGTAAAGAAATTGGATGATCAATGATCAATAATTACTATCATGACCAAGACGTTGTTCAAACAAAAGGAAAACCAGAACACAGTCTTAAACTCATGGTGGATCATCATTTCCCTCTTGCTTATCCATTTTCTGCCGTAAAATGGGTATACGGTATACCCGATGTATTGGACAAACCCAAGTCAGGAATGAACGCGAAAATCATCGAAGATCCGTCTTTTCCTGCGGATCACTGGATTGCTCTACGGGAAAATTGGTAGGAACCCCTCTCCAAATGTAGATTGTTCCAAGATGTGTTCCCATCAACCAATTCTGGGAGCAGCGCAGTTTCCCTTGAAGTCCCCCAATTTTCAGAAATCATCAGGGCCCGGGATGCTCCAAAATGGAGGCGCTAAAACGAAACGGTGCTGCGCAGGTCTCAGCCCAGTTTCTTGGCGTCCTCCGGTTCCTCACTGCCATCCGCCAGGAACCAGCGCTGTTGCAAAGCAAGGCCACCTGACAACGGTGAACGGAGCTGCTAGCTATGGGTATACGGTATGGATATATTCCCTGGGGAGCCGAGGAAGCATTCAGAGCACATTGGACCCCTAAAATTGATTAAAATTGTATAGATCTCAGACTCAAGACTACGCAGTGTTTATTTCGGGGTATTTCTGTATTTCATCTCATCGTGTAATCAAAATCTTTGGAGGGGGATTATATATGGTTCATTAACAACGGGTACATTGTACATAGAATCATGGTACCATCAGCAACTATTCTAATGGAACCGATGGGATAAGAAGGTTCCTGACATGTGCTTTGCTGGCGCACTTGCTGGAGAACAGAAACGATTTCCAGGATACGATGGCATCAGGGATCATGATCGAAGGCCACCCATACAGGAACACCCTGTTGCAAAGTTGCAATCGAGCGAAACTCTATTGGATTTCTGTCACTTGCCAGCACTGAACTCTTGAAGTTGTCTTAATAAATTATAGTAATGTCAATGTAATGTCCCAGTGTGTGTGAAGGGCCATTGAAAAGCTAGAACCTAGAACTAGAAGGCCAGTTGGAATATATTGAAGACATTGAAAATCTACGAAATCGAATTCACTGGAAATTTCATTGTAGGTTGAGGCAAAAATCACGTCAATTTTTTCGCATCCAACTGTGAACATCTTTGGCGGGATATTCCCATGGATATTCCTGTGCAATCCTGTGCACCTCCCGTTCCACCCAGATTTTTCAGGCCTCCTTTTGGCGCAGAACGATTCACGATGAGCACCGGAAAACCCTGCTGTTGGGTCCAGGAACCTCCAGGTGAAGGCTGGGGCAAGCGGAGTAGGCTCAATGGGAAGCAGATGAAAAACGAAGATGGTGCACATTGGAAAACTATGGAAAACTCACAAATGGCTTAGAATGGCTTGGAATGGCTTGGAACGGTTTGGAATGGCTTGGAATGGTTTGGGGCATTCGATAAGGGTGATCAGATAGCGCAGTACGGTCACTCAGCGTGCACTAGCCACTTCCACGATTCTTCAAAAAAAGGAACTTGCGTGGGCCTATTGATGCTTTACCCAAACATCCCGAGTATCTACATAGCGTGTTCCAGAAAAACAAAGTTTGAGATGATAACGTCTTGAAGGTCCTGAAGCACTAAATGGCCAAGCAGCTCATCATGTCTTGCAAAGGCATTCCTGAAACTTCCTCCCAACCTGAGTAGGACAAGGGTTTGGGGCGTCCAATTGCCCCAGGGACTGATCTGGCGTTGCTACTGCGTTGCAAAATCCAGCTGAAACATCTGGTGTGAAAGGTCACGAAGCAGCTCACCATCCCTTCGTTGATGAGTTCTTCATTCTACTACTGCTACATATCCCTACAGTTGCTACACCTCAACACACTTACACGCCCAGCTTAGTGGATGCTTAAACATGCTTAAACATGTTTGCCAAGCATCAGGACCACAAATCAGAGGAGTCTGTGTTTCCTCAGCTTCTCTTCGTCGCAACAGCTTTGAGCCCAAACCTTTTCCAAAGAAAGCCCAGTGCAGTCCAGCATCGGTAGGCAAAGCGACGCATGTACAAACCCAGGCCTTCGCGAAAGAGCTCCTTCCCAAGGACTCCGTTCACCATGCGCACCACTGAGCCACCTGAGCAGCAGCTTCAAGATGCTTCAAGGCGTCCCTTAAAGGCTGAGGAAATTTTGCTGCCCCACACTCGAAAACATCAAGCAAAACTAGCAGTCATATGCCTGCGACGTCATTGTTTGCCGTGTGTTTTTGAAATTGTCGTGTGTTCTTTTGTTGGCATAAATCTTTATCTGATGCATGCAAACAGCAGCAGCCACCCTCATCCGACACAAGGCGCCTTTGCAATAGGAAATCGCATCAAACACTTCGTCCACCTCCTCAATAGAAACCGAACCCTGTTGATACAATATTTTAGGGGGAAACACAGCAGGGTTCCCAACTACCAACCACACAAAAAGGTGTGCCATGTCATGCCATCTCTTCTTACATCTCTTACGTATCCACCACTGGAACCTCAAGGAATTTCCCTCAAACATGTCAATGCCATTCAATGCCCATTTCCTGCTTGATGGATGATTGTCCTATTCCAACACAACTCTTAACAGTCTTAACACCTATAAGTATCTATATATATATATATATGTAATTGTATATATATATATGTAATATACATGTATACATCCCTTGAGAAACCAAAACCTTTAAAAATAAAGGTTCTCAAAAAAACCCGAGGTTTTCAGGGGAAACCCGGGGTTTCGATTCAGCCTGCCTCGCCACAGTTGATCAGACCACGCAGCTTTTTGATCTTCATCCCCTAGATGCCCCTGATTGTCATTACTGACGGAGATTTGATCCTTGGCCTTACTTCATGGGCACATTCCGGGATATTTTTTGATGGTGGTGATTAACAAAGAATTCAAGTCATTTAAATGATATAACTTGTGGAAATCTTCAACCAACTATGACTGTCAATCAAGTTGGCCGGATCAAAATCCGATTTTGCAGAAACATATGGTATGTTGCCTGTAGATAACGGTCCATGATTCTATGTAGCACTGGCCGCTGAGCTGTCACCCGCCGTGACAACCTAGCGGGTCGTCCTATGAAATCTTCTGACTGTTGGCAACTTAATGCCATCGGGTTTAACCCTTTGACATTGGCCTGGTGTGCTTCCATGAGTTCCACCATGAAATGGTGGAGGCAATGTATTTTTGGTTGAAACACAAAAAGGCATCGGTTTTGACTATTGGCCAATGAAGCCATTTGAGAATACCTCCGTAGAAATTGAAACCCCAGCTCTGAAACGAGTTTGCACACTGAAGGAGAAAGCCAAACTTCCGAGCGATAGAGAATTCTAGCGCAACGCTGAATGGCATTGCACGCCTCAGACGCCATTTGTAGAAGTGGTTGGTGTGCAAAAGTATCCTCAGCAAAACGAGCTTCCAAAAAGTCCATGACCACTGTTGACAGAGCACCCTTGTGCCATATCGCTGATGGAAAAGTCGTTGTTTTTTCCCATCCAATCGACTCTTTTGTGAGCTTGGTAATGTGGGCCCTCCTGGAGTTGCTGTGACACCACCTTCTGTACCTAGCACTTCAGGCTGCGAATCTCAAGTCCACATTTGATTGTGGTTCTTCGTCCGACAACAGGGCAAGTACTGAACCGATGAAATTTCTCAGAACTCCAAGGTGCATAGTATGGAACCAGTCAAAGCACCAAAGGGATGCTTCTTTGCCAGGCTCATGCAAAAGGCTCATGGCCAAAGGGTTGGGCAAGACAAACGGATCTTCCGCAAACATTGTAGATCTCCACAAAGGCCGTCTCGTTTCCAGTTGTTCAAACGGGTATGGTCGCTGGCCCCCCTGACATAAATGACAGATTCCAACTGGGAGATTTTTTTGAGTCTTCCTCTTCTGGATGTTGTTGAAGCTTCGGCAAAACCCACCAGACTTGTGTAGGAAGGGCCAATCGCCCACAATGCCCAGCACAACCCCCCAAAAGCGTAGACCATTTGAAGCCACCACCCCATCGTCAGCCATGAAAGCAGCTTCTGCAGCAACCTCCTCCATGAGCGCGTTCCAAGTTTCAACATTTTGGTCAGAGTAGTCACGTTTTCTCATGGTAGCAATCAAGAATCGATTGGTGTAGGTGTGGCCTGAAAAGTTGCACTCCATCTTTGCCCACGATGTACTTTTCTCTTTTTTCTTGAAACCCATTCCCAAGACAGGATGGAAAGACATCACGAAATGCGCAGCATGTTTTCTTCCACGACCTTCGTCACCGTGCACCAAAAGTGGAAAGGTCTGAGACAGGACCAACCGTCCTTCTGACGCCCGCTGAAAAATTTCATGTCTGGGCCGTAATGCCCTAAAGTTTTCCCAGAAGCAAGTCAATATGTCAGCCTCCCGCTTGGGATGTGGCTGCTGCAGGCCACACAAAAGGTGCAAGCAAGAATGCGTCAAGAAAAAATCAAACCAATCTCGAATTCTAAGAATTGGTATGTGATCAAAGTCTTTGAGCTGCGATGTTTTCACTGGCAAGGACAGGGCGTGCTTGCCCACTAAGACTCTGCGGCAATCTCTTTCGGAATTGGAAAGGCTGCATTTTGCAACCTGCACTAGTCCACCAGATCGCCCAGCAACCTCTGGGCCTAAATCTGAAACAATGTCCCGGGCCGTCTCAACCATGGAGACGCATGGGGCCTTGGCAAAACAGGGAAATCAACCAAAGGATATATGTAGATTCGACCTTGTTGATGCTACTACTGTGATGAAGAGAGACAAATGCAAGCACCCTTACAAAAGATGCACCTTTTACATGCGACAAGTGGTAGATTTCATGCAGATATGCACATGTGCACGCATGAACGCATGCATCCGTTTTTTACAAGCAGCTTCGCAACACGTCCCATCATTTTTTGAAAGTACGTGCAAGAAAACACATGGCCAGCATATTTAAAATCAAGTTTTTCGACCAGTCGAAATCACTTTGAATGGTTTCAAAGGTTTGACCGGTGGTGGGTACTTGAAAGATCTATACACCACATACACGCAGCTGCAGCTGCTTTCTGAGGATGGAATGGCAACGCTGTCGCCGCCAGATTTTTCGTTCTTGCAGCCAGGCTTGCCTGGGCTTCGGGGCAAAGTGGTAGAACCTAAGACCCAAGAAATCCAAAACATTGTTAACGATTTGGATGGTCCTGTACCCCAGAAAATCGCTGAATGGATCATTGGTTTCACATATTGTGGAAAATGGGACCGAAGCCAAACCAAGAAACTTCGGTAAATGTCAATGAGACATGCTTCAAGCATAGCGGGTCCCCGACATTCATCTGACTGATACATTACCACCATGTTAGTGTACTTGTGCTTGTCCAATACGTACCCGTACAAGCGGTTGGTCCACCGCCAAACTGGGTTGTGGGTGTACCCAATCTTGAAGATCATGGGGTCGTGCTTCTTGAACAAATTCGACATAACTTGTTTCGCGTGTTGAATAACACGGCCTTCAGAGCAATCGACAGGGGGAAGCTTGTAGTCCAGGAAGGCAAAGCTATCACGGCTATCATAGGAAGAACCAAATGAACGAGATGGGCTTGGTGACAACGATGTCATTCCACTGGGTGTTGATGTTTCAACTGAACATGTGCTCGGATCTGGCGACTTGGGATCCATGCAGCGTGCATCATGCTCCTGGGCCCCTGTGATAGGTCCAATGGGATCATCCGCTTGGACATGTCCATTGCGTCTTGTCCATGGAAACGGGCGTAATTCATCCTAAGCTTTCCAAGCTTTGCCAAGAGGATCAACTTAAACTTCTAGTTTGAAAAGTGATGTTAGTAACATTGGAAAACATCCTATCAATGGCATATCATTATGATTTGTTTTTGTTGATGCACTTTTTCTGCATGAACTTGACGAACCAAGATTCTGAACGATGGCAAGTAAATAGGTCCCACAGCTCATCATCTGGGTGTTCCAACTCCATGGCCATGGGCTTTGGAGCAATGCGAGACATGAAAGCCCTAATCTTTTTCACTACTACATCCTATATACAGCTTGACCGAACCATGCTGAAGGTAAATAGGCTTCTGACACTCAACTTCGACTGTTCTTCCCTAACTTTTCCAGTCTGACTTGATTCATCACGATTAGGTTTGGATGAGCTCCTGGCACCATCGCCAATCCGTTTGGAGAAGCCACGGACTATGCGTCCAGGTGTGGGACCTGGCTGGAGATCCATGGAAAATGGGGTGGCATGCGTTAGCGAAAATAAGTTGGGAAGAAATCACTTTAGTAGAGTTTAGCTCTGTGATGCCTTGTGATTGCACACATCCCTGCTAAAGACAAAGCCAAGCTGAGACTTTTCTCTGCATGACCCCCCCATGCTTGCTAGCTTGTGCATCAGCTGCTGCTAGAGCAACAACGCAAATCCTCATCACGAGGTTGCGTGTTCACAGGTCATTTTGCCAAGTAGTGAACTTAGAAATCTGCTGAAGTCCATGCACAATCTTTGAGACACAAGAAGTTACAAGTCCAGTCATATGTTGATTTACTTTGCTCCACTTGGCTTTGACCAACACGTCATCCCTCCAACGCAAGAACTTAGACAAAACATTTGAAGCACTTAGGCTTTCTTTTCCTTTTTGGATATCTTGGGCTTTTCCGGTTTCTTGCCCTGGCTGCTTGCCGGCTCAGCTCCAACATCACCAGCCTCATCCCTATGCTTTCTCTTGTTCTTACCACCACCTGGCTTCCTAGAGCCCGGGACGTCAGCAGGTGCTTCTGCTTTCTCGAAGAACTTCTTGCGGCTCCTGGCGGAAGAGTTCCACATGTGCAGGAGTATCTTGGATTGAACAGGCTTAAGAAAACGGTGAGATGGAATCTTGGTTGGTTACTGTCTTGTTTCAAACCATTCAATAAGTAGACATTGCAGGTCAGGTCATTGCATTTTGTAAACAAAATTCGCCATGATAGAATTCTACAGTTCTTTGGCTGGAACAACATATGTATAGGATTGTATAGGATTCTCCTCGTCTTCAACTCCGCAGCTGCAGCCTTTGAACACCTAAGAAACGCTGTCAAATTTGCAGTTGACTTTATAGCAATCCTAATGGGTAAGGGGATAAGTACAATTGAGGCTAATGAAAGCTCAAACAACATTGTTTCCAACTTGGGTGGAGGATAGCAATGAGTCCCGACCAAGGATGGCAAATTTGTTTCTGCATGGGGCCCACACGCCAAAGTTCCTTTCTGCATCTGTTCCTCGGCAGCCTTGTGGAACCTTGCTGCAAGGGTGTCTATTCTGACCATAGCAGTGGGCACTGAGATGTATTGCACATGTTTTTTCAAGTTAAAACAATATTATGATGTTTTG